CCGGCCTTTTCACTCCTGGGAACACTGGATCGATCAAGCTAGGGTTATCTATATCACATTCACCGCGCTGCGCCTTTTCCGATAGATAAGAAGCCTCTATCAAAACTATCCAAGTCAGCACCGCAAAAAGACGAATTAAATATTCACTTTCCATGATCAAAATCGAAGACCACGCTTTCTGCTAGCTTGTTTATTGCCCTTCTACGCCACAAAAGCTAATCATTTATTCCATTTGTGGGCCCTAAATGTCGGGAGTCTGGCGGTGTTCCTTCAACCGCTCCGACCATACCCATCCCAACCACTGGCCTTGATAGAAACACAAGAAAGCATATCAACATTTCAGTCTTCAAGTTCTAGCAAGGCTTTTACGGCACATAAACCCCCACGTAGGACATACATAACTCAAATAGGTCATGTATAAGTAACGAAGATTAGAGGCGTTACAAACCCAGTGACATATAATGAAAAAAAGGAGGAGAGATACGGGCGATATACGTTTGGTAAGAAAGGGGCAGCAAGTCACACTAGGGCAACCACCACCTGCCCAGTGAGAAACTTCATCGAAGAGCGGACTCACTTTGTTTAGTTAGTAGAGGTTTTACGGCGCTCGCAACTGCATACGGTCATGTGAGCGCCAGAAGATTAGAGGGGTTACAAGGGAGTAACAAACATAAAAAGGAGGAGAGGAGAAAAAGACGATAGATGTAAGATAGGAAAGAAGGAGCAAACCACACCAAAGCACCCGCCAACCACCCAGAGTGCCGACCAGAGAGTGGTGCCGACTCGGTTGGCCGAAGTAGTGAGCAGATCGGGTAGAGCTAGTGGTTGGGAAGGAATGTCGTCCCGGGTGATTTACGTAACCTTCAGCGTGCGCTGCTGCAGTACTTTGCTTACATAACGTGGAAACCGTGCATATGAGAGAGGTGCACTCAGACTTGCAGAGTGAAAGACAGACAGACAGAAAATCACACAGACATACAGACTGGCAACCTTACTGACAGACAGATAAACAGAATAAATAGGCAGATAGATAGAATGGGCAAGAAAGAAAGACAGAACAAGAGAGCACGAGAGAGAGAGAGAGAGACAGAGAGAGAGAGAGAGAGAGAGAGAGAGGGAGATAGAGAGAGAGAGATAAA